TAGGTGTTTGGGGAGGCGGAAGGGGTGGGTAGTGGCTGGCTGGCTGACTGGCTAGCGCTCTTGCTTGCCTGAGTCTTGAAGGATTCGGGCGTGTTCGGAATCCAATTCGATAACCAGCAATTGCAGTGATTTACAGCCTGTCCAAACTCCCAGCTGCAAAGGCAAAGGTATAACTCACAGTACTTTGAGATGCTGCACATACAGTAGTCATGGAAAGTCAACGGCAACATGATTCAGCCCGTGGCATCTTCATCAGTGGCATGGCATATTTGCGAATAGGTGTTCCATGCAGCCGTTCCTGGCATATGAAAGATGTCGAATGGTGTTGGCAGGAAGCTGTTCTTGCAAGTGCCGTCACTCAGCCCGGGGCCATCACCAGCACCTGCATGAGAGCAAATCTTCCAATGCAACCCAGCTTCTGTACCATCGGACTACCTTCTGCTCCTCTGTAAACTCGTTCAAGTGTTGCTGTGAGAAATCGTGATTTTGGGAGGCTGGGGGCTACAAGTAGGACTTTGTTTGTGGGGGGAGGGCATTGCCACCGACCCGAAAGAGTTGTAGATGGTTGCAGGCTGTTTTGCTGCAGATGCTGCCTGTTAATAAGTATCCTGCCCCAGTCTGAAACATGATTACCAGCACATCTTTGGCTAACAGCGCCGGAGGGCAAGCTTAGCTGAAGGCACCTTGGGCGTGCAGAGGCTGCGTGCGTTTCGGCATGAGGGATGAGCGCGGTCGATCCTCGGTTCGGTGAATTTGCAAGCCAGGCACTTATTCATAAATCGCTTTTCATGGCTTTGCAGCTGAGACTTTGGAAGAGAAGAGCCCAAGTAGCAGAACCCAAAAGAAAGGTCAAGCCACGGCAGTGGAATGACAATCTGTCGGCCAAATTCGGGCCTCACGTTGCGGGCTTGCCGTATGAAAGTCCCTTGCAGGAGTTACAAAAGATAAGCAGACTCAGAAAGCCAGCAAAAGCTCCTGGCAGGACGTTGTCGGCCACCTCGCGCATGGTCTCTGCCTCTGAGACATGCTACCACGCTGTCAGTCGCCAATAGATTCAATAGATCTGCTGATCCCACATCTGACAGGCTCGACATTCAGGCCTCTGTGGTGAAGTCGAACTCCTGCCTGAACTGGTCCTCGCATCTACTGGCGGGGGGGACCGCAGCATACTTTTGCCAGGCTCTGCCATGCTGCCTGCATGGTGGAAAAGATCTCTTGAACTTGTCCACCCATCCCAAGCAACTGCATGGCCTGACAGAACGGCAACGGTCAAGCTTTCACTCACCCGCGTCCAAGTTGATATGCTGACCACTGAGGTGCAAGCAAAGGAAACGGTTGCAACCTTCGCTTGAATCATACCACTGTCATACATACACCCAGGTCACCCAAGATTCTTCTCCGTGTTATGCCATGTGAACATGCTCCACCAGGTCAAGACCTCGAAGATACTGCGAACCGCTTGGAGACCCATCCATTTCATTTACCAGACCGTGCAGACCGTGCATGCGTCCCCGAGCGGCTTGGGCGAGAAGCCTGTCATCTTTAAATGCTAGACACGATCTGGTGCGAGAAAGCAGCAACTTGCTCTTTTGAAAGCTTTGCCGCTCTCGAAGGACCAACAGGCACTCGGGCACTCTGAAGTCACTAGAAAGCAAGCAGAGTACCCGTCATCACCTATTGTGCCTCGTAGTTTGGAACCCGCCGAGGAGCGTCCATGTAGAAGAAACGTTCCACGTCTGGGTACTGCACTTTGACAGCCACCTGCTGTGTAGTCTCTCGCTGGGCGTGAGGCTTGGCTTAACATGTGTGATAGGTTTTCTGCTTAGAAAGATGTCCCAAAGCTACGCCGGAGATTATCATGATTCACCCCTTTTCATCCCTGAAACGCCTCGGTGCCATCCAAGAGCTTGGCAAAATGCACCTGCAATTGTCGGTTCAGGAATCGGACCCAACTGGCTGCATCGGAACATCGGGTGCTACAGTTCTTTGGACAAAGCCTGCGCAATGGAGGCTGCAGCCACTGCGTCAGCCTCGAACTCTAGGAAGATATCTCCTGACAACGCCATGGCCGCATGCACGCTCAGATCGCTCAGCCCCTCGGCCATCATCAACAACAACGCGCAGAGCAGCACCAGCCTATTGAGGCTCCCAACCTCAGACAGGGTTGAGTTTTCCGCATGAGAGAACCCTTGTTTGGGTATCGGGCTCTCTGCTACTCAGCTCATTCTCTCCAAACATGCACTTCTTTAAGTAGAAGAAAACAACAACACACAACTCTGAAAAACAAATGCCTCGGCGCGGTGCTCCGCTTCCAGGATGTCTCGGACGACGTCGAAGGGCTCCTCTCTCTTCCGCTGAGCATTGAGGAGAAAAGCACTCATACACCGCTGTGGACTGGTCACGCATCCTGTCTTGCCCAATCGCGGTGGCGCTTCTTGCTCTAACAGTTGGTGATGTTTGGCACTTGCCAACAGCCACGAAGGCGTCGGAGCTCAAGGCTTGTAGCCAATTTGGGGCCAGCATTTTGGACTACTGCGGGTGGTACAGCGCCCGTCGTTGTGCGGAACTCCTGGGGACAGTCGTCGAGAAGAACAGCGAAGACCTCATCGAACCTTCCAGTCAACTTTGCCATCGTGAATCGTGAATTGCAGTTCCTGACAAGGAGGACAGCTGTTCAATTCTCCTTCTTGACGAGCGGCTCTGCAGGAAATTGGCCGGCACCACACAAGGTCTGAGCTGCCTGCGCGTCCAACAAGCACATTGTCCACAGCTCGACTTTCTTCGCTCCGTGCAAGTGCTGCTGAAAAAAAGTGTGCGGTCGGCCTTAACATAATAGCCCTTCAAGCTGAGCACCTGCGCAGACATGCAAGATCTGGTCATACCAGGAACTCTGGCAGGCTCCGGCACTAAGCTCTGGACTAATTGCAGCAACCTCTCTGCACAGAGTGTGTTCAAGCCTGGGAAGGGGGAACGAGGAGCCAAGCTGAAGAGTGCAACAGCGCGTGTTGTTTCCTTGCTTCCAGTGCCGCTGATTGATTGAGAGGCTGTTTGAGAGTGTTGAGGATCCAAAGGCCACTTCGTCTCTTCGTCCTGCCGCGGCACGTTTCATCTCTTGCATGCGCTGGTCGTCGGTCCCGAAACGGTTCCTCTGGCACGCGGCAACGAGGGTACATGAGCTCACTTCAGAACTTCAACTCTCGCAGGTGCTATGTCATCAGTCGGTACCGTTGTCACACTTCCCCACATCGGCTAACCAAACAAGTCATTAAGTTTAGGTAGTTGATCCATGTTGACCCTCTCTTGACACGAAGGGGGGTCTCCCTCCCTCTCTCACCCTTTCTGCTGCACCGAATTTTCTCCACTGTCTGTCGAATCCCTCCGTACCAGACACGCTTGAAAGGCACAGCCTCATGGGTGTCAACATGTAGGAGATCAAGATGCATGCCAGGCCGAACCCGAAGCGGACACCTGAGACACAGTTCTGCCCTTCCGTCTGTCTGACAAATGTCCATTCTTGTTCACTCGCCCACACTACCGAATCTCCAGATCGAATATCACCCTTCACCCGCCCCTTCTCTTCCGACTCCTTCCATATCCTCCCATGGCAAGAAGGGCCTATTCCGATCTAGGGACCGCAAGCTGGGGACAGCCGGGTTTGTCAAAGTATGTCTGCCAGAAAACATGTCGGTACATCTCCGATTGAGAGACGGCACATGCAAACGAAGTGCAAACACATTCGCCCCCACATAATCGCACGTGTGCCTCGTGTAATGCCTTCCAGCCATGTGGGCGTTAGCCGGCCTCAGGGGAGTGCTGGCGACCCGAACTCGGCAATCTCTGGCAAAAGAAAGCGTGCTCTGGGCATGTCTCCCTCAAATCTCCCTTGCAAAATTCTTGGGCACTTCGCCGGTTAGGGCCGAAAGGAACTTGCTGGCAGCTTCGAAGAAGCCTGGAGATGTCGCACTATATCTAAGCTGGGCTAGGAGCCGGGAGTGTCTGCACAACACTGGCACCCACACCGCGAACAGCAAGACTGCAGCAAGTGGAACATTTTGTGCGTGCCTGGGCGAAACCTGGCGAAGCTGTCCAAGAACCTCCAACTGCCCGACCCTAGCTCCGGCCAGCCTATGCCTGTTGAGGTCGATGACATGGCAACCGCATGTCCACCCGTGCGTCACGTGAGGTTTAGCAGAATCCTGTGGACTAGTCTTGTTGAGCTCGCAGACGGTACTCAGAACGCGGTCCACAGCTGTTGATGCTCATCCCTTCCTTTCCCTTCCATGCAGCATGTCACTGATTATCTGGCAATGACGTGTCATGGGGTAAAACATGACATGCTCAATTTTTTTCGCTTTGGCGTACTGTGGCACAGTTACTGTGGATACAAGCAAGATGTTACCCGCGTGTTCATAAGGTGGATATAGCGCGCGCATCCCGAAACTAAGGACTCGAATCCTCGATGACGTTGCCAAACCTCGAAGTGAAACTATAAAGCGCATCGGTACCAAGCATCGTCGTGACTCGCTGCAGATACTTGAGCAGAAGCAGGCCGTACTGTTGATACGGATAGATTTCGAGATGCGAACAGGTTTGTTTGAAGATTGTCCGGGGAAATTACATCATGATGCAACTTCTCAGGCAGTCCGCGGCGAACCCGACAGCGAACCATAGAACAATACCTTATGCCGCGTTGCCACCGTTACGCTAAGCCCTGACAGCCTGAAAGGCCCAACATTGGCCGTTCCCCCCTACTACAGCTCTACATTTAGTTAGGCAAGGGTTCTGCTAACTCATTTCACGTCTGGTCTACGAATGCAACTGCCGACTGCCTACGCAATCCTTACTTTGACGTGTTCTCCAAACCCATCCATGCCATGACTCCACGCCCCCAAGTTTGCGAACCAGAAGGTATCCGTAGTACGTATGCCATCGCTCAGCACACCCAGATGACTCTGGAAGAGTCCGACTGCAACCGTTGTTAATGTTCCGAGCACCCCAGCTGCGCCAGCTCGGAGGCCAGCGAGGCGTTGGCCTTGTTTGCAAGCAAGGCCATGCAGGGGAAACGATTGTGCGCGAGGTTAGAGGATGTAAAAGGCACTTGGACTTTGGTCAATCACGTCATAAGCTTCCGCGTTGAGAAGGCTGCCGGATCAAGAAACAAATAAAAAAAGGATCAACAAAAAACAACAGCCGAGGCTTTAATCGCTCACACTCGGACAGGCCAGGCGAGGCACACAGGTTCCACAGTCTCAACAAGAGGCTTTAGGGTTTAGGGTTTGGGGTTTAGGGTTTAAGGCCTATAGTGTTCAGGTTTTGTTTGATACTTTTTTCTTCTGTTTGTTGATCGTTTTTTATTTTTCTGTTGATCCCTATCCCCGCTGAGAAGGTGTATCTGTTGGGTGTGAACGCTCTGGGCCCATCAAGTGTTTGGTTTCTCGGGTTCACAGAGTTTCTGAGTTTCTCGATATCTGCTGTGTTGTTTGCTTCATCGGGCTCATCGAGCTACGGGCTTACAGGTTCATTGGTACCGGGTTTGGTGGAGCGCAGGGACCAGCTTCTCGGGACATCACCACGTGATATTGACATGGGGATATCCGTTCATTTGTATAGGCTTTGCGCAGGAGATGCGAGCATGGTTTCTGGGCTGAGGTATCTCCATGAAGCATGAAGCACGGGAAAGGACTTGCAGCACGAGTCGGAAAAAAATGGAAAACCGGAATCAATCTTGTCCATCTGAAACCCTGAAAACCTTCTTCCCAAAACCCAAACCGACCCTTGTTGGGCTCCTGTTTTGGCCTAACCTGCAATATTAATATGACCTGCATCAAGATTCCAAAGCATGTCCAGTCGATGGGAAAACATTCCCGCGAACAAGGGCCCACTCGTACACAGCTCTTCTCGCCAAGCAACAAGAGTCCAAAGTTTTGGGCACCTAAACTTAGACAGATATGTATCCAGTGTTTTAGTGTTTTCTCGGGGGGATATTTTCTGTGTTCGGGTTGTAGGACGCCTTCTTGCTTGTGACTGCTGGGGAAGCAGCCCGCCCTAGTCCCATTCTGCTCAACACCTCTACAGGCGCAGGGAAATCAAGGGATGGCAGGGCTCGAACCTCTGACCCAAGAAGAGAAATGGCAAGCAAGAACGATCGAGCCCTGAAGGAGCTACCGCAGCTTGCGTAACTAAATACGCATTCAGTGGCACAGGCGGATCGCAAATTTTGGACAGGGATCTTCGTTTAGAGTGATGGGATGCGCGATCCAGACAAAGCGGCTGAGAAAAGCCACTTTGGTATAGTTTGGGTTCGCCTCAGCCCTGGTTCCCATACAGCTACCCCGCTGCTTCGCGTCTTCAGCTTCCCATCTGTGTTCATTGTTGGGGGGTTCCTTCGGCCCACCAGTTCGGCAGCCCCGAGAGCGATGGCCGCACTCCTTGTAAGCCAATGGGAACCCAGAGCCGCCCCTAGAAAAAACACCGCCTCCGAACCCCCCAAGTGACAAACACCAGCTTTTGGCGGGCTAAGGCCCAAAGCTGCAGAAATGCCGAGGCTCTGACACTCGCCGGACCCTCAGACCTGAGCAGAAATAGCAGAAGCTGTGCAGAGCATCTCCAGAAGAGCCGAAGACTGCTCGAGCACACCACTGGAAGATCTGTAGTAGTCTGGAAGCTGCCTCCTTAGCCATCCGGCACGATGCATGATGTGACGTATGCGGATATGCAGAAAGGCTGCCGTTTGGCTCTGAATCCTAAAGCCACAGAGCAACAATTCAGCCCTGGCCTAGCGAGCCTGTTCTGAGAGTTGGGTGCTGGTAGGAAACTGACGGCCAGCACACCAGCTGCGTCGGGCGCAAGGAGGGGCGCATAGGGCGAAACCTCAGGCGATCCCCAAGTTTCGCCTGAAGGCGAAGAGGAGCACCCGGGTAAATGAATCCTTTCAGACTTTGGTAAAAATTGGGCCGACTTTGGGCTGTACTTGGCTGCACAGTGTGCAAGCATGGTGAGCTTGATGGTTTTGCCAAACATGAACAAACAAACACCTGGTTGTAAGCACGGAGCTTGTTGTCGTTTCGGCTGCCTGTTTTACATTGTCCGAAGGGCAGCAGGTCACCCCAACTAAATCTGCAACTGCCTCGACAGGTAGCGGAACTGCTCCACATCATGCCGTAACTTCCACTCACTTCCAATGTCGCCCTGACCGCCAGGAAGGCACTGACTTGCGTAGGGCAGCATGAAGCGAAGCGAAATGATTGCCGTGTGCCAAGCCTCAGCGACACTACTGGACGGCCGCCCAGTATCCCATGACAATGGGCCTCAGCACACACATGCCATTATGCCAAACCTTCTCGAGTGCACATGAATTGTAAGGACAGCGCTTGGCATGCCTGGGCGACGCCGTACCCAGTGCATGTGCTCCAGCCTGCAGTTGCACCCCTCCAACCTGATATGACGGCTGCAACCATGACCTGAACCGCTCGAGTTCCTAGCCACTTGAAAGCCCGGTCGTAGCGGCCACGCCACAGCCTTGCGTGCCCACATTCTCCGGAATGTCTTCTCGTGGAGCTAACATGCACTGAGCTGCGAAAGCCCGGCAATCATCGTGCCGCAATGCAGGAGAGCCTCATGACCATTTAACTCAAGGGCTTCATGTCCATCACAGGCCATGTTTGTAGAAGAAAGGCACAGGAAAGTGTTGCAGTCGCGAGGGTGGTGCTCGGTCGGAGTTAGAGTCCAGAAGAGTTCCAGCCTGGGGTCGTTTGCAAACGTGCCTTCCCTCTAGTACGGCAATTATACATCTCGTACCGGGGGTTGAACGCGATGGTCGCTGCAGCGCTGCAGCGCTCGTGCCGGATCAATCCGGCCTTGGCTTGCACGCTACAAGCGATGGTGGTACCACATGCGATGTTGGATGATCTTGGCCTGCACCAGGTCTGCGTTACCAGAGGGATTTCCCGTCTGAGCAACTTGTGGCCGTACTCGTCAGATGCTCGATCCCATCATACGTCACTTTTCATTGAGCCATGCCTGACATGCCATGTTACGTGCTCTGTGCTCCTGGACTGCGATGAAGCCCTTGAAGGGCCTCCACTATCCGCCCCGAACACATTTTGGGTTGAGCCTTCAAACCTGACATTCTACCACTTTCACAACAGCAGCTCCTTCTGCGACTGTGTGGGCTTTCAGCAGTGGTTAGGTTGGCTTGCGGAGAGAAATGGCTCGAAGTCACTTCCAGCCCTGTGATAAGCAGAATCCTGAGCCCTCAGCCGTCAAGAAAATCATTCCTTGGCTTTCGGCGAATTAAGGGGACTGGCTGAAGGCAGGGTCGTCCTATGTCCCGCTGCACAGATCGGAAACTTTGCAGCCAGGGCACAACAAGTAGGACCTTGGTGTGTGAAGCTAGTCACGGGCTTCGCTGCTCAAGCATTAAACCAAGCGGCGAGTAAAAGTGTGAATCGCCATAGATGGTCATTGGCTGCTGCTCCGGCACCAGCATGCAATGCTCCTGGGGGCACGAACTGGACATCAAAGCATGGCAGGTTCAGGCCCGGTTGCCTGCCTGCAGATTCGGCTCCAAACGGTTTGCACCTGAGTCGGCATGCTCTGCATTCACCAGCGTGTTGAGGTTCTGCAATCTGTAGACCCCAAACGTGCAGCACAGCTCGGTGGCAGACAGCAATACCGCATGTACTGCTGGTCTTCACGGTCAATCTGCGCATGCAGGCTATGATGCTGTGGACCGTGCGCAGCTTGCAACCAGCACAGCAATGGACTGAATGCGCAGACGCTGCCTTGTGTTCCTTGGTCTGGACACAGCTTCCCTCGAGGCCACAGTTGCAAGGCAGATCCTGGCGGATGGAATCTTTCCCTTCCTGATCTCTGGCCTACTCTTGCCTGTCTTTGCATGCGGTGGACATCCGGTCCCACCGCGCGCCGGTGAAGATCTCCAACTTTTCAGAGTACCCCCAGAAGGACATGCCTCAGCGACGTGGAGCCCTCACGGCTATTCGGGGACCCCCAAATTCGATTCGTGAACATTCGGGATGCCCACAGCAGTTGAAGCCATGCAAACCACAGGCAGCCTGTGAGGTGCTGAGCAGTGTTGAGCACAGGTGCTGAGCAGACATGCTGGCCAGATTGTCCCCCGGCGTTGCGCAAGCGATCCCTCAAAAATCAGCCCACCTGCCCCGGTGCGGGGTCACACTGTGCTCCTCCACTCTGGCTCGCAAACGAATGCAACACATTGCAACAGTCCAAGGGTCCAAAGCAAGGATGTCTCGTCGGAAGGACCAAAGCTTCAAGCCGGGGGGATATGACCGGGATATGTTTTGCAATTTGTTTTCCATATTTCCTTAAACAGTTCTTCAACCCTGCTCAGAACAGTCCTTTGCCAAAGCGAGACACATACCGATCATCGCGACAGACATTGACCTGGCCAGCTTGACACGATGACAATGAACACTTGACAATCACCCAACCTGGTGTGGGAACTGCTGGAATATGCAGGTCATGGAGTCCCACTCCTTGCTCTGCTGCATTCTGCTGCATTGTGCCGCAAGTGTTTGGCATTCTCTCTTCCTCAGAACATCAAACGTGGCTCAGGGCTGGGCGGAAGCATGAAGAGCCCGCCGCAAGGCCTCACGCACCTCCCAGATATGCGTGGAGCGGCTTGAAAGCGAATCTCTGGCACTTTTCGTTACTTTTTCTGCGCTGCTGAGCACAAGACCTGCAAGATGTCCGTTGCCACGTGCACCACGGCTGCTGGTTCGGGCAGCAGCTGCTGCAACCATTGCGCAGCGACGGGGCCTGGCAGATGGCAACCGGCCAAGGAAAGATAAGGAAAGGGTCATCAACACCACCACCCCCCACCACCCCTTCTTGCAGGATGAGTGGTAGTTCCAAGCGTGCGCAGCAGTTAAATCAATGGTGAGCGAACTCTGCAATCTCCCACCTTCGCGACGCAGGGGTGGCCATGCCTGGACACAGCAATCATTCGAAAGCAAAGCCTTAGAGGATTGTGGCCTGTATGCTGTATGACTACTGTTGACGACGACCGTCTACGTTGTGTCGCTAGTGCAGCCTACACGCTGGTGCATTGGATCTGTGCCCCTGCGTTGGAGTAGCATTTTGTTTTTAACGCGTCGTGGCCCAGCTCCTGCAGCTGCGCTGGTGTGTCGGAATGGTCTTAGGGGAACCCATGGGAATCCACTGGTCGGGTGTGTGAGCTTTCTGCAAATTTTAAGATATGGGGCCCACGGATGCTTCATTATGATAGCATGGCACTTCGTTACAACTCGGCTGGGCCCGGATCAAAGCAAGACAATAAGACATCCAACGCTCCAAAGCTCAGCGTCCGACCGACACTGGCGGCAGGTTGGTTCCTGATTCCTGGCACACCCGAAACACAAACAGAAGCAAACAGAGACAGAGCGAAAGGGTTGGAGAAGCAGCCGGGAAGAAAGACGAAAGACTACAAGCAAAGACGTACGCTACATGGATCCTGGATGAATCTCTGGTCACTCGTATTGATGAATCCTGAAGTCGGCTGCAGGCAAAGCCCAACATCGCATTAGAGAGGGACATGGAGGGAGGGGCGGGGAGAAAGTGGTCCCGGCTTCCAGAATTATGCTTCGATTGCCCCGCGGGCTCTGTAGGGTACTCTGCGAATCCTCTTTCAATGTTGCGCCATTTTGTGGCACTGCGGTCGAACTTTCTTCGGCTGCTGTCAGAAGTGGCCAATCCGGTTTTGTGTCCCCTGGCCACGGAACCGAACAGGGCATCCAAAGCCGAAAGCCAGGATTCGAGTGTGCTGATCATTCGATGAACATGGTGGACGGAAAATGCATGGCACAGGTTTTTGCCGCGTTTGTCAGCCTCCACAAGCTGGAGGAACTCGGCCGTGCGCCGCACGCCGGACCTTTGGCAACAGCAGCTAGTAGCGAAACTAATGGGTACTCGAAGCCTTTACTTCTGTGCACTCACACGATGACACGAGGCTTACCGGATTTTAACCGTCCACATCTCGGACAAACAAGTTGACAAGTTGAGGGCTATGCAGCAATCTGGTGGTATGATTTCTCAATATTTATCATACATATTCAGACTGTGGTCAAATCACATCTATCCACCAGCTCCCATAGAACCTCATGAAACCAGGTCACCATCCAAAGATCATGGTCGGATTTCGGTTTCCGGATAGTGCCGGGCTCTCGCTTTGACACATGCATGGTTCCTCAGGTTACCCATCCTCTCCCTCCCACTGAAGCGGTCGAAGGTCTGGGGCAACGGCTCGATCACGAAACCCAGATGCGCATCCAGAAGATTCTTTGCCTCATCACGGCCACGGATGACACGCAAGGTAGCTGCGGGAAGGTGCACTCTGCACACTCGAGGTCACTCAGCACAAGAGCAGTGGCCAGCCAAGTAGCCCAGGAGAAATAATCGAAAGTGCAGTTCCCGCCTCTCATGTGTGTCACGAGCAACGGCCAAGCTTGGCACACGCGGCTCTTCGCACACTTCTTGGGCCCACGCTCTCAGTCTCTTTCTGTACAGTGACATTCAAGCCCCAGGCGTAGTACGAGGGCGCATTGCGACCTTCGTCGAACATCAGCCAGAGTGCCAGAGTATGGGCATCATCTCCAACAACGGCAAAATGACAATTGAGCGGGCGTCAGTTCATGGTGTTGGGCAGAACCAGACGTCTCCCCAGCAGCTTGGCGACCTACCCGCAGCATCCCTGTGATCACAGCCAGGCACCGCTTAAGCAGGACTCGGAATCGGAGGCCTCCACCGCAGCGGACAAGGTGGAGAAGTCGCCCTGCAGGCTTTGGCCGCCAGGGTGGTCATAGGTCAGGAACCTCCCATGTTTCATCACGGGTTCCTGCACATGCCTTTATCGCATGGTCTGAAATTCTTGAAGCGGGCTCCGCGCCGAACTGAAGCGTTGAGCCGGTCGTGCCAGTCATCCAGGAACCACACCTTAAGGAGGCTCTTTACCAAAGACATGCAAGGAAGCTGGGCTTGGCATGTTCGACAACTTAGCCGGACACCTGCCGGTCACGCAAGAAGTATTCCTGGCAAGTGGGCAGATGCACTCCATTCCCATGGACACAGACGGCCTCGCACGAAAGGTTGTACGTAGGTTTTGATGGCTTAGGCCTGGTCATCCTGGGATCGGCTTCGTCACATTTACGCTTCAGAACTATTGAGACGAGGCAGCTTATGGCTACCAACTCACGGTCAGATTCCACAACTTTCCGTAGTTCTAACTTTCATCGCTTCAGTGACACTTCAAGCTTTGCCAATGCTTTGCCAGGGCTTCAGGCCGAGGCCTTCGGGTCCGCGCCGTTCACATGCGCCACAGCTGGGAAGGACCCGATCTGGACATGCAGAGAGATGCTGTGCCCACATATGCCCACATGCTGGCTGACATGCTTTTGCCCACATCCGAGAACTTTGTTTCTTGCCCCTGCCCGCCTCTGGGTCGAGGAGGTGCGCTCGTCGCCAGAAGAAGTTCATGCCGTGTGCCACCCTTGCGGGGTCCTCGGCTCACAACTACGACTTCTCATGGCTTGTATGGCCTTGCCCTCATCAGCCCCGCTCATCTTCTCAAGGCCGCTGCCAAGACCCGAATGGATGCCTTCATTGCGCATGCATGCATGCATGTTTATATCTCTGCACTGCGCTATTGCCTCCTAAAACTAGGCCAGGGGGGCAGGGGGGCTGCGAGAGCTCCTGTTATCTGCTGATCTTGTTCTATCATGTTCTGCCTGTCTCCACGGCCAGGCAGGCACTATAGTCTGCGGCCGCCCAAAGACTTTGTCGTCATAGCGGCCCACCTACCCAAGTAGGAGAGCAGCTTCGAAGCAACGCACATCACTCGGGCATACTCAGGCGGCTGCAACCAAGGGGATGTCCGCACCCATGCGCCGTACCTGCGCAGTCGCGTTCACAGTATGCCCCGTGTTCCAAAGATTCGCGTCAAGCTTCAACATCTCAGGTTCCTACGATGAAGTGGTTGAACACACGCTGATCCTCAGCCATCCCATGCGTCTGGCCTGAACCTGAAGCTCTCAATCGTGGCATCGATTGCTAAGGAGAAGGCCATACCGTCACGTCGTACGCCTAATGCCCGACGCTTGCAATAACAACTTCTGTGAAAGCTGTGTACTTCGGCTGCGAATTCCTGCGAGTTCAGGCAAAGTCCATCTAACGTTTTTGTCTTGGACAAATCAGCATCTTGACAATGACTTGTCTGTTCGAAGCGTCAGCTAGTTAAACCACGAGTGCAGAGTTTGCTCTGTCTGGTAGGGTACAGCCAGCAGTAAGGTCCAATCGCAAGTGCAGTGCTGCACGCCTCCCTGCTCGGATTGCCAATTCTCATCCAGGAAGTCTGCAAGCAGAAATCCTTGGTACTCTTTTTTTGGTAAAGCATTGAATCAAGATAGCTCGCAAACAAACAGGAAGTCCAGCTTCGTGGCGCATTGGTCGAGTCGGCTTGACGAGCACGAAACCGGTATTGATGTGGTCCTGCCAAACTACCCTCGAGACAGACCTGAATGTTTTGTCGTGCCCGCGGCGCCAACTGACAGACATGCCCAGTGCTCACAAGCACTCTCTTCTTCTGTCCGTGGTTTTCCTTTTGGAGCACTAGACAAAACCAGAAGCTCAAAACACCTTCAGGAAACATGCTAATACTCGGTCTGGGGTGCCTGGTGTCTTGGTTCTTTGCTTTGTTGATGTCGTTACTTGTTTTTCCCCCCTCAACAAGTCTCCAGAAGCCTCTGAGTATTCAGTATGTCTTTGCGTTCCATACCTTTTGAATCAACTGCCAAAAAGCAGGAACAAAGTATTCTTGGATGCTGATTGACCGTGCAGTTGTTACACCATTTGACAACGGTGCACCGCAAGTCCCAAGCCCAGAGCCACACCGGACCCCTTTTGCTACGGAGCCTCCACACGCACCCAGGGTTCCCAAAGGTGCTTCCCCGGGAAGAAATGGTCCGTCATGACCTCTCGAGCTGAAAAGGATCCTTCTGCGAGGACCTATTCTTGGCTGTTCAAGGGCAGAATTTGGGAGTGCGATGCCACCTCCATGTCGGCATCGCCAAAGAACTCCTTCCAAATGCAACTTGCAAATGCCAAGGTCTTCCTGTAGGGACTGTGGGGCCTTCTCTTTGTTCTGCTAGGCTCCGAAAGCTCGGTATGCGAACAACTTAAACAGAAAGCTTTCCCCAAAGGGTAGATCTGAGGATTGTTCTACATTTCTTTCCCGGATTTGTCGGGCCTTGGTTGGGTCACCCAAGAAAACGATGTCAGCGTCCACGACCAGCACCCGAAGCCCAAAGCTCGTGAGGGTGAGCATCAGGTACCATCCTCAGCTCATTGAAGTTCATTGACGTGCTCACCTTAAGAGGCGTGGCGCCTTTGGCCTTTACTGCGTGGGACGCCTGGGATCCAAAGTGTGCATGGTGCCATAATGCGTCCATGTCGCGCATCTTCCAGATGTCATCCTTGAGGTCCCTCGAGCGGCACGGGCCCGCCTGATTGCGGTGGACAGTTCATGTCCAGGGTCAAGGCCAAACTCCGCCGAGGCCCCACCTCCACCTAAGGCGTTTGGGGGGAAATTAAACAATTGAGCAGCCCACCTCCCTCACACCCCTACATCCCCGCTCCCTGACAACCCCAGTGCCGGTGGCCAAGGTCTCCCGTTTCGCGGGACCCGTTCCCACAAAACCTCCGGCACAAAAGTTGGGTTTTCGATGTGTTTGATGGTCCCTGGCCCAGAAAAAACCTCGATTTCCTGCTCCGCGTGGTTGTGGTCTTACATTGTTTGGGGTGCACCCCCCCGCGCCCCAGATTTGCCAAAAGAATGATCCATGATCCACCGTGACAGCCCAAAAACCCCTAGAAGCGGACGAGACCGTGACAGCCCAAAAACCCCTAGAAGCGGACGAGACCGTGACAGCCCAAAAACGCCTGGAAGCGGACGAGACCGTGACAGCCCAAAACCCCCAGAAGCGGACGAGACCGTGACAGCCCAAACCCCCAGAAGCGGACGAGACCGCGACAGCCCAAAACCCCTAGAAGCGGAAGACGCCGTGACAGCCCAAAACCCCCAGAAGCGGACGAGACCGTGACAGCCCGAAAACGCCTGGAAGCGGACGAGACCGTGACAGCCCAAAACCCCCAGAAGCGGACGAGACCGTGACAGCCCAAACCCCCAGAAGCGGACGAGACCGTGACAGCCCAACCCCCCTAGAAGCGGAAGACGCCGTGACAGCCCGAAAAACCCCAGAATCGGACGAGACCGTGACAGCCCAAAACCCCCAGAAGCGGACGAGACCGTGACAGCCCGAAAACGCCTGGAAGCGGACGAGACCGTGACAGCCCAAAACCCCCAGAAGCGGACGAGACCGTGACAGCCCAAACCCCCCAGAAGCGGAAAACACCGTGACAGCCCGAAAACCCCTAGAAGCGGACGAGACCGTGACAGCCCAAAACCCCTAGAAGCGGACGAGACCGTGACCGCCCAAAACCCCTAGAAGCGGACGAGACCGTGATAGCCCAAAACCCCCAGAAGCGGACGAGACCGTGACAGCCCAAACCCCCCAGAAGCGGAAAACACCGTGACAGCCCGAAAACCCCTAGAATCCCTAGAAGCGGACGAGACCGTGACAGCCCAAAACCCCAGAAGCGGACGAGACCGTGACAGCCCAAAACCCCCAGAAGCGGACGAGACCGTGACAGCCCAAAACCCCCAGAAGCGGAAAACACCGTGACAGCCCGAAAACCCCTAGAATCCCTAGAAGCGGACGAGACCGTGACAGCCCAAAACCCCAGAAGCGGACGAGACCGTGACAGCCCAAGACCCCCAGAAGCGGACGAGACCGTGACAGCCCAAAACCCCCAGAAGCGGAAAACACCGTGACAGCCCGAAAACCCCCAGAAGCGGACGAGACCGTGACAGCCCAAAACCCCCAGAAGCGGACGAGACCGTGACAGCCCAAAACCCCTAGAAGCGGACGAGATCGTGACAGCCCAAAACCCCTAGAAGCGGACGAGACCGTGACAGCCCAAAACCCCCAGAAGCGGACGAGACCGTGACAGCCCAAAACCCCCAGAAGCGGACCAGACCGTGACAGCCCAAACCCCCAGAAGCGGACGAGACCGCGACAGCACCCAGACCGTGACAGCCCAAAACCCCTAGAAGCGGACGAGACCGTGACAGCCCAAAACCCTCAGAAGCGGACGAGACCGTGACAGCCCAAAACCCCAGAAGCGGACGAGACCGTGACAGCCCAAAACCCCCAGAAGCGGACGAGACCGTGACAGCCCAAAACCCCCAGAAGGACGAGACCGTGACGGCCCAAAACCTCCAGAAGCGGACGAGACCGTGACAGCCCAAAACCGTGACAGCCCAAAACCCCCAGAAGCCGACGAGACCGTGACAGCCCAAAACCCCCAGAAGCGGACGAGACCGTGACAGCCCAAAACCTCCAGAAGCGGATGAGACCGTGACAGCCCAAAACCCCGTGACAGCCCAAAACCCCAGAAGCGGACGAGACCGTGACAGCCCAAAACCCCAGAAGCGGACGAGACCGTGACAGCCCAAAACCCCAGAAGCGGACGAGACCGTGACAGCCCAAAACCCCAGAAGCGGACGAGACCGTGACAGCCCAAAACCCCAGAAGCGGACGAGACCGTGACAGCCCAAAACCCCAGAAGCGGACGAGACCGTGACAGCCCAAAACCCCAGAAGCGGACGAGACCGTGACAGCCCAAAACCCCAGAAGCGGACGAGACCGTGACAGCCCAAAACCCCAGAAGCGGACGATACCGTGACAGCCCAAAACCCCAGAAGCGGACGAGACCGTGACAGCCCAAAACCCCAGAAGCGGACGAGACCGTGACAGCCCAAAACCCCAGAAGCGGACGAGACCGTGACAGCCCAAAACCCCAGAAGCGGACGAGACCGTGACAGCCCAAAACCCCAGAAGCGGACGAGACCGTGACAGCCCAAAACCCCAGAAGCGGACGAGACCGTGACAGCCCAAAACCCCAGAAGCGGACGAGACCGTGACAGCCCAAAACCCCAGAAGCGGACGAGACCGTGACAGCCCAAAACCCCAGAAGCGGACGAGACCGTGACAGCCCAAAACCCCAGAAGCGGACGAGACCGTGACAGCCCAAAACCCCAGAAGCGGACGAGACCGTGACAGCCCAAAACCCCAGAAGCGGACGAGACCGTGACAGCCCAAAACCCTCCAGAAGCGGACGAGACCGTGACAGCCCAAAACCCCAGAAGCGGACGAGACCGTGACAGCCCAAAACCCCCAGAAGCGGACGAGACCGTGACAGCCCAAAACCCCAGAAGCGGACGAGACCGTGACAGCCCAAAACCTCCAGAAGCGGACGAGACCGTGACAGCCCAAAACCCAGCCCAAAACCCCAGAAGCGGACGAGACCGTGACAGCCCAAAACCCCCAGAAGCGGACGAGACCGTGACAGCCCAAAACCCCAGAAGCGGACGAGACCGTGACAGCCCAAAACCCCCAGAAGCGGACGAGACCGTGACAGCCCAAAACCCCCAGAAGCGGACGAGACCGTGACAGCCCAAAACCCCCAGAAGCGGACGAGACCGTGACAGCCCAAAACCCCCAGAAGCGGACGAGACCGTGACAGCCCAAAACCCCAGAAGCGGACGAGACCGTGACAGCCCAAAACCCCCAGAAGCAGACGAGACCGTGACAGCCCAAAACCCCAGAAGCGGACGAGACCGTGACAGCCCAAAACCCCCAGAAGCGGACGAGACCGCGACAGGGCAGCCGGGGGTCTCTTTTTCCCGCATTTGCAAACAGAATGACCCGAGGGTGTAGGCCTAGATCTCCTTTCCATTTCGGCCTTGGTGTTTTTCGAACAGGAATAACGAAAGCAACAACCAAAAACCTGGAAGTTAAAGCATAAAGCAAAATCAAAAACAAAGAACGCCGGAGACAAAGAAGACACTGTTTGGATAACAGAAAGACCGAAGGTAAGAAACCTGAACCAACAACGTCAAAAACAAACCGCACAACAATCATGCAAGAGGTAGAACATGAAGTGGCGCACATAAGGAGGCAACAGCAACTCAAAAGGAAACAGCAACGAAAACACAAAACGAATAAGTAAACAACATCTCGGAGAAGCATCACAAAGTGCATAACAGAACCAGGAGGACGGCAGACCAGAGAACCAACAGACCAGGGCCCAGGCCGTAGACGGTTGCAAACTTTCTAGTTCTGAAATGTAGAACTGAGTCTTTTGACCAGGAGGCTGTCTCAAAGAATCGCACAAGACTGTTCGCCCCAGAGGCCTACAGAATTTCAGGACCCTATGCCCAACAACCCTCCAACCAGGCTCTGTGACTCTGTGAGAATCGGCACCTCGCAGAGCACGGAGTTGAATCCGTACTCCTGCATGACCTGCCGTTGTCCACCACACAGAGGCGCACTCGGGGAGCGTTTTGGGAGTAGACCATCTCATCTGACTTGGTGCATCTTAGTGTGCTTTTTGCTTCAAATGAACTCGTAACTCACGCCGCAGAGCGCCCAGTTTGCACATTTATGCACGCGCCGTCCGGAAACACAAGAATTGATTCCCTGCTTCCAGCACCTTGTGCGCGACAGTGTCCATGGAGATGTATACGAATTTCTTCTCCAGGTGCGGCGCCTGCGGCGCAAAGACGCAAACATCATGTCCGCGCACAACGAACTGGAAAGGCCGCGGCATGCTTGCGGATGGACAAGGCCAAATTGACTGCAATGTCGGTTCGGCTCCCTTTCTCACCTTGCATCCACACGCGGGAAATCTGAAGCGCCAAGCACACTGCCGCACGCGTCACAAAACGAATTCGCAAGTAGCCCGTTGTGTCCTCAGAGTTCTAGAGTCCTTGTGCCACATGTTTTCCAGGACTTGCAAGCATTTTGGGTAGGCATGGCAGGTGCCAGTGTTCAATGATCTGTTGCTGTTGCATGTTTTCCAGGACTTGCAAGCGTTCGGGTAGGCCTCAGCCGAAGTCCGATGCCCTTGCAAGTCTCCCGTTTCTTCTCCATTTGGCTCCTCCACCGCAGCTTCGTGCAGGTGAGGTGCTTGGGTCCGCCGGCGCACCGGTCGTCCAGCTGAGGAGCACCAACTTCTCAGGACCTTCAAAGGAATGCAACAAAAATGCCCCACTTAGCGTTTTACGCCCCACTCTCGGTTAAAATTGCACTCAGTAGCCTGCAGGGTATCCCTGGAGTGCCACCCCCATGGAATCCCGAAGGGCATCCCTGGAGCGCCCGTCTCCAAGAAAATCCGGCGGAGAATCCTCCACTTTCTGTGCCGCCCCAACGCAGCCCCATCCAAACAGAACCAGATTGGGCGAATGAAAATGGAATCATTACTTTAGAAGCCCCTCTTTCTCTATCTTTACCCAGCCAGTAGTACGCTCAAAAGCCCTTTCTGAGCCTTTGGGGAGCTTAACGGTGGTTAGCTGCTAGATGCCTTGGGCAAGCTGGCCGAAGGTTCAGACCAGTGTCGTCTAAGACGACCCTGTCTTGGACCTGCACCTATTCTTTCCCTGCCCCATAAACTACAAAAGCATCATTGAAGCAACAGCTGCGTTCTAGAGCCAATGGTGGCGATCAAAGAACGTGCCCGAAATACTGTAGCTGCTGTGTGTGAGTGGTAGTTGTTGTCTTTAGGGAAATGCCCTTTTCACACATATGTCACATATGCGGTTGTTCCTAGCATGTATGAGACGACGCAGCTGTGGTCCACACCTGCGATTTGCTTGAAGTAATCTCCAGGGAGGGGCAGCAGCATCCTGCAGCACTGCAGTGACTGCAGTGGGTAGCGCAAGGCCCACTGGATCCCACAAAGCGTCTGCTTGACCATCAGCAAAACGCACAACCTTTGCTCTTGGCACGGTGAAACTCCAATCTGTCGCACGTCCCCATGGCCTTGGCGTTTTGGGACGTGCTTCTGAAAATAGTTACAACTAGCGGTGCGGCACAAAGCCAGGCGGCCAAGGCGCTTGCTGGCCTCTAGCCGCTGGCTTGGTGAGACATTTCCGTGGTTCTGAGAGCGGCTAACGTGCCCGCTACCTGCTGTTTTTTCTGCAAGATCGCCATTTGAAGCCTGCTCACAGTCATGTGGAAACTTAACCCGGGTGCGATCATGCGGAAACAACACATCTGTCGATCATCTGTCGGTCCTTATTGTTGCATCGCTCGCGTGCACTACCTAACACTATACGTAAGTGACAACCAAGCCGCGATGACCTCAGGTACATCACAGCGGCGGCACTCGCGTGCGAATTCGATCGCTCGGACAAGGTCATTGCACGTCTCACTTTGCAGCACATTGGGAAAAGGCCTGCTCAAGCATCACACCTGCCTCAAGCACCTATTGCCTCCAAGGTGCATGCTCTAACTTGCAGTTGCACCGGTCAGTTGAATTTTGCAGCATCACATGCGCGAAGGATCACCCTGGGACGGGATGTTGTGCGTCAAGCCGGTCAAGCACTGACCACGCCGCTGTACAATGTTTGCCCGAGGCTGCGTCTGCCTGGATTGTGCATGACAAGCAGGCCTTTATGTGCCGGCATTGTAAAAACGACCCTAAACTTTCCGTCCTGCCTGGCCGCTGTGGGGGGGTGCAGACGAATTATCTTTTGATATTCCTGCTGGCTACCGCGAAAAGGGCGGCGTTCAAAATTACGAGAGGCTGCAGCGCAAGGTCTGAAGAGGGAAAACGTTATTCTCACGTCGGTGACTCGCTCTCCGATGAGCTTGTGCTGTGGATGGCCACTTTATGCCAGGCGGCATGTCTGTCCTCGATCGGGAGACTTACACCAGGAAAGCAATACTCAAGTTACAGAGCACGCAATTCCTGCCGATATTGCCGAGAACGGTCCCTGGGGTACGTGTAATGCCCCATGCCGTAGAAGAAGAAGCCTTGGACGATGGGACTCAACTACCTTGAGTCATGTTGAATAAACACTGTGCCGCTAATCTGACTGTGCAGGATGCTGCAGAGCTTGGAAAATGCAGCCATGGAGCACACTGTCAAGGCAACGGCCGAGAGGACAAAGATGCCCTGGCCCAGCTTCATGGCATTGTCAGGAGAACAGTCCTGCAAAAGGCTTGTAACTTGTCACCATACTTCCCGAAACGAGTGTGAACAGTGTGAGGCTGCTCTCAAGACATCTAAAGTCCTGTGAGTTCGCTTCTTCGGCGTTGAAGTGGAAGACATCATCCTCGGGCAGAAGTCTTGTTGCCAAACCACATTAAGCTCCCTCGCTGTGCCCTGGCAACTTCAAGCCCCGCTTCTTTGAACTCCAGGCGTCCGTGAGCCAGCCCACAATTGGCTGTCCCAGTGCTCCCAGGGTGCCTTCGCCAGGGCTGCTCTTGCCCTGGTTTTTTTCGTTTTGTTTGCCAGCTCTCCAAAGCGCAATCATGCTGATGATAAGCAAAAAAACAGCACAACACGCCTTCTACAACCCGGTCCAGTGCGAAGACATAGCTGTACGACTCTGCGGGGACAATGTCGCTGAACATCTTGTTGTTCATCACTTGACACCAGGAAATCATCGTGCCAGTGAGCAAAAAAATCATGCCAAAAACCACGGAAGTCCCAGAACTATCGCGATCAAGGCTGCCTCGTCAACATCCCGGCCCATCACATGTTTCAACTCTGGCACGGAAACTGCCCTGGCGAAGGAACGCTGCAACCGAATAAGTTCGCTGCCGAGTCCGAAAAGGATTGTGGCAAACATCGGCAAGGATAGGAACACAGCCACTTGTGCCATTCCTGCAGGGCCAGACACGCACGCACGGACGCGCACGATGCGCACTCGCAGCATCATGCGCTGGCCCTTACCTTTGCAGCAAAAATTGGCAAACTGCAAAAACCATCAAAGTTTGAATTTGCGGTGCGAACCCGTCCATCCATGATCTAGGACACAACACAAACACACACCTACTTGCTAGATTGCTGAATTATGTGACCTGTCTACCACCGTATGGGAGATCCAAGCATCCCTGCCCTCCCGCCATCCTGGCGGACCGTGATCTGGAAAGCGCCGCGCGACGACATCCAGAAGCACACCTGCAAACATCCCTCAGCGCGCGGTTGGCTTGGAAATCATGCCCGGATGCCGACAAACCTGCCTCCCACAACTCCCGAAAGGGCCGTTCCGATGTTGAAGCACGCGATGATAGCAGCCGCCTTGACCGGGGCAGGATTGTGGGACAAGACCATGGTGCCCCCACAAGGGCCCCCTGTGCCTGTGAATGTGTGAAGCAGGTCAGCTCCAGCCACATGGTGAGGTAGGTGAAGGCGAACCAAGGCGCAGTGCCAAAGACTCCTTCCGGTAAACATCGGTGCTGGCAAAGCAAAGGCCACGGCTCTTGGATTTTGTGGGCATCCTTGGCCCATGATGATGACGAATGTTGGAAGGCAGACGATGCGCTGAAGCTTCGGCCTTGAGGCCAAGAAAACCACGCAGAACCGAACGCTGGAACAGGGCCCGGCTTGACCAAGGGTATCGGCACTTCAGGAACTTCAGGTGCTTGTCACCTCAGGTGCCCGCGTCTCTTCGCAGACGATGGCCAGCATGCCGCGAGGATCCTCGTGTTCACGGTGGTCGGTGACCTGCGCTTTTGCTTTGCCTCCTGTTCAATGAATTTTGGGAGTCTTCTGATGAATCTTTCGGACCAGCACACGGCGTGTCAGTGTCAACACCGAACGCACCCCGACTGCATCTCTCCCCCGTGTCGCGCCAGAAGAAAGCAGAGTGCGCCCACCATGGCACTCAAGGCAGCCACGATGAGCAGGGCACACCTTAGCAGCCCGGACTGGTGCATGTGGCTGCAAGCGCAGGGCGGGCAGGCAACTTGCAAAGTTTCATGCTCTTTTGAAACAACTGTGGTTCGTATTTCAGGGCATTTATTGCGAGCTAGATGTTGCCGCCGCCGAAAGATGACAACAATGATGAGGTTGTATTGGACACGTTATTCGCTCTAGCGATTCCTGTTCTCCATCACATTCCAACGAGGGCCAAGATTCTGCCAGCCAGCCATCGACATAATCTGGTAGGAGGCCATACAAGTTGCCAAAGCTGTAAAAACCTCAAGACATGTTCTGACACAAACTAGGCGTGGCATGCGTCGGGCATGTCAACTTCTGCGTGCAGCATCCTCACTCATTTTCAAACCCCTGACCTCTCGTCGGAAAGGAAGCTCTTGTCTGTGCAACAGCCAACGACTGGTCCTCCTGTATGGATCTGTGCGGGGAAGCCGTCTCACTGCTGCCTTTTCTGGGCGCACATTGCGTCCAAGGCTCGGTTTGCCCTGTGTTGCCGGTGAACTGCAGGAAGCCGAATGCCTTTCCGCGACCTGTTTGAGCAGCGCCTCTTGCAATAACCGTTCCATGCTCGTATAGTTATAGATCAGCCAAGCAAGTTATACACAAGCATACTGTTAAGCCATGCAGGAATTACGCTTTGTTTTCCGACTGCAGAGGGCTCGGGACGTTTCAAAAAACTCAACAGGCCGAACTCATTCATGTCATCCCGTTGATGATTACACCCGCCCTCGCCAAGTACCGGCTGGGGATGAGGCGGACACACACACACACGGACGGAAAGCAGAGTGAACAAACTGCGTGATTGTCGGCCTCGCCTTGCGGTGGACTGGATGGCTGCATCGCAGGAGGTTAACACAACAAGAGATTTGCTCAAATGCGAAAAGGTCACAAATGCACACCAGAGCAAGTACTCGCGGGTCGCTACCAAAAGCAGCGCCAACAGGCACCCACAAAACCCGACGCGCCACAATTTGCAGAGCGAGGATGCAATCGGCACGCTTTAGGCACCAGAACTCTCAGGTGGGATTGACGGTGCTAGTAATTTTGAATCGGAGTTGTCACTGAGTGGCGAGTCGACGAGTCCGGGATGAGCGCGACCATAAAGCAGCAAAGAGTCGCGGCCTGTGCGACAATGATCGGAGTGGCCTACAGCACGCAGACAATTCCACCACCCACCATACGAGCTGTTGTCGTCTGACTTGGGCTTGGATTTGGCTTTCACCTTGGCCTGGCTGTGGCCGACTTCGCAGATTTTCTACTTGCTTTCATATCTTGGGCCCAGAGTGGTACTGCATGGAGCCGTCGCATGAAGACTGATGACATCATACGAGATTTTCATAACACGTCAGCAGCTCAGATCTTCACGCTTGTGCCACCCGATGGACTGTGTGACTGTGCCTGCTGAAAATTGGCACTGATCGATGACCGGAACCGAATGAAATGGGAAATCGGTGTGTGATATATTGATCTCTTCGCTTGCGGAATCGAGGCAGCTGTCTATACCATGTCAGTGGGCCCATGTGCAGAGCACATCGGCTACCCTCCTGATTAAATGATTCGTCCAAGAGTTTACCGCTTCTTGCACGAGAGAGGTGCACGTCCATCAGGACCCAGCGGATGTCCAAGCTCTCTTGCAAGATGCAGTAAACTCTTGGACGAATCAGGAGGGTAGCCGCTATGCTCTGCGGATTGCCCCACTGACGCTGCTTATTATACAGCTGCCGCGATTCCGCAAACACGAGATCACTATATCAAACGCTGAATTCCCATTTCATTCGCCTCAGCTCATCGATCTGTGAGAGCGCCAATCTGTCAGCAGGAGGGCTCACCTCGGGGGATCGTTTCACTTTGATCTTGCTCAGGACGGGGACGGCACACCGATGATGGTATCCGGGCTGCTAAGTGCAATGATGTGTCAAACACAGTCTCTGAAAATAGTTGCCTGCTTTGTGCACT